TGGACAGATCACAAAAACCTGGAGGCCTTGAAAACGCCATGAAAATTCTCACCTAAGCAAGTTTGTTGGGCACAAGACTTTAACCAGTTTAATTTTGCACTGCGCTACATTCCTGGGGGAAAGAACTTTATGCCTGATGCTTTGTCCAGATTACCTCAATATAACAGTGTTAGGCCTGAAGTAATCCGACCAGTCATCCTTTCTAAGCAGCTGGCCACTCCTGTGATTACCAAGGCTCAGAAAAAAAACTGCCGGCCATTTTGGTTTTGTGAAGACTTTGCACCTGATCAAGTGGCAGTTTTGGTGGCCTTCATTGAAAAAGGACATTGAGACTTATTTTCCCAGCTGTCCTGTCTATGCTGCAGCTAAACGGCTCCCAGGGAAGCCCACTGGACTTCTATAGAGTGTTGCCAATCCTAAGGCCCCATCAAAGGAAATATCAATGGATTTTATAATTGAATTGCCTGAGAGTGGGGAGAATACACTTATTTGAGTTGTTACACATTTATTTTCTAAGCAGGTGCATTTTGTCCCATGCACTAAGATACCTACAGTTAAAGGATTAACTAAACTGTTTATTCAACATGTGTATAGGCTACATGGAGTTCCTGATCGTATTATCTTGGAAAGGGGGGTACAATTCACCTTCCCAATTTTGGTGAGAATTCTTAAGGATGTTAGGCTCCACCTGGGGCTAAGCTCTGCCCACCACCCTCAAACTAACGGGGCTTGTGAATGAACCAACTCGGTTCTGGAACAGTATCTTAGGTGCTATGTAAATTACCAGCAAGAAAATTGGCCCAACCTGCTGCCCTTTTCAGAGGTCTCTTATAATAACTCAGAACATAGTAGTACTGGCTTCACCCTGTTCAAAGTTCTCCATACCAGAATTGTCTCAGGAAAAGCCTCTGATCCCCTCCTTGGTGGAGTGGATTGAACAGCTGCAACACAACTGGCCCATCACGCATAAGGCGCTGGATAAGGCACATCAAGCCCCTAAGAAAAAGAGGGCTAAGAGGGTTTCAAGTGATGATAAAGTGTATCTGTCTCCTAAATACTTACAAACTACCCCAAAATCAAAGAAATTGGAACCTAATTATGTGGACCCTTTCCCAATTTTAAGAATCATCAACCCAGTTACTGTACAGTTGGATCTGCCAAAAAAATCTTAGATGGATCCACCCAATGTTTCATGTTAGCTTATTCAAGCTTGAGAAAGCCTGCTCCTCCAGTACCCCTCCTTATAGAAAGGGAGCGGCACTTTCAAGTTAAAGAAATCTTTGATTCTAAATAATGGAAAGTGCTCTCGGCATTTGGTAGCTTGGAAGCATTTCCCTCCTTCCCAGTCTGAATGGGTGGATGCTCAAAATGTTCAGGTCCCCAAACTCCTTCAGGTGTTTCATAGGAAATATCCCGATAAACCAGGGCAAAATAATATTCCTTAATTTTATCTTGAATCATTTTGTATTGTCCATTTTAGTTTTGTGCTATGCTCTCTTCTTTTATAGGGCTCACGCCTCTGTTGCAGAAGGGCCGAATGTCAGCCAGATCTCCAGCATGGTTTTCTGAAGCTTGCTTGCTCTTGGCTGCCATAGAAATGGGAAGGGGGGCCTGGGCATTTGGGTTAGGGAAGTGAGCTGATGTGAAGTAGTCCCATGCGAACCGGAAGGGAGTTTTTCACTCATGAATTATGGCACTGCTGAGCAGAATTCTTTATACTTCTTCAAGGACTGTTAGGAATAACATGGGTTACTTAACGTAGTTTGGGTAAAATAATATATATAAACTATGATTGTGAGTT